AGTTGCTACCACAATTAGTTTCAAAACTCCTCCTTAAAACTCTTTAATATCAGTTACCCAAACTGTATATTTTGTACACTAAGTGGCAAACACCTTGAGAGTCTTCTGTAATCTCTGACCCTGGTCCCTCTTGGAGGTGATGGAGATACAGAGAGATTTATTCTAATCTGCCCATGTTCTTTTGGACTTGGCCAGTAAGTTTGCTGGGGGACACCTACAGAAATTAAAAACCAAGAACACTTCAGCACTACTGAGGGAAAGTCCGTATCCTCTGAGTATAGGTTACTGATGATAATCACCTTTATATAAGTAGCAGTAACTATTATTGTTAGGATCAGAAAGTGATGTCAGTTTCAGGTTCCAGACAGAGGTGACACATCCCTAGCTGTTGGTGAGAGTTTGGGGTAGGATGCAGGATGACATGCCATCCTGATCGTTGTGGGTCTGAGGGGGCTCCCAGGGCACAGAATTTTCAGTATTACAACCAAGAAAGTCTTTAGCAAATGAGTCTGTAACTCTAAGCCCATCCCCAAAGAAAAAATCCACTGCCATAGAAACCTTAGGCAGGGTTTCCAAGGCTATAAATCACCTTCATCTTCATCTTGCAGAGCTGCGGGTGGGCTTGAACCATCAACCTTGCGCTTACCCAACCGGGCCACCAGGGCTCCTTTAATCACCATGGTCCTGGGTACAAATGAAGATAATTAATCTAGGTGTAGAAACTGTCATTTAATATTTGAAAAAAAGAAAATGCTTTCAATATTAGAAAAGAACCAAAGAGTTCCATTGTTTGGGCAAAACCTAGCTAAGTAAAGTTTAGAGAGGGATAAGCAGGCCATGTCAATTTCAATGTATAGCAGCCCTTTATAGGGTGTCTAAGACTCAACAGGAGTAGAAAGCCTCATCTTGTGCAAAGTAGGTAGTGGATTTGAACCAATGGCCTTGAGTCAACATGCCAACACAGCTCGCAATGCTTGTTTGAGGCATACTTGAGGATGGCTTCAATTTCAGAAAATCTAAGGCAGTGGGGAAGCATTAAAGGTAGAAATTGTCAAAAGCCCCTCCTGGCCTCCACATTTAGCTCATGGATGAGGCTTGTTTAAAAAGGCAGAAGAAAAGTCTGTAATATTCTTCTGACTAAACCATACTGCTTTTATTACTTGAGGGCACAAATTGACTAGGTGTATACTCAGTCTCCTGTGTTGTTGATTGTGTTGTATGTATGTCTTGGGTAATCTAGCTTGCATTTATATTAATTTCTCAAATGAAATTGTGAGTGCAATTGCAGCTTTATAAGGTGGTATTCTGACATTTGAGTAAATCTTTTAAAGCTAAATGTTTTGAATTCTCTCCCCAGATGAAAAAGAGAGGTTTGACCCTACTCAGTTTCAAGACTGTATTATTCAAGGCTTAACTGAAACTGGTACTGATTTAGAAGCAGTAGCTAAGTTTCTTGATGCTTCTGGAGCAAAACTTGACTACCGCCGATATGCAGAAACACTCTTTGACATACTGGTGGCCGGTGGGATGCTGGGTAAGTGTGGACTTTGTGATGTGTGGAATTGAGAATCCTGGATATGAATAAATTGTCAAAATTAGAATTTGATTGTGTTTTTATATCCCCTTAGACAAACTTTCTCTATTGTTCCATTTCCTAAGTCATAGTGTGTAGCAGAATCTAGTAGATTGTAATCTTTGAGGATGACTTCTGTGTGATGCTTAAGTCCCTGCAACATCTGTGCTCTGTGCCACCACCCCACCATCCCCCCCCCCCCAATTTTGAATTTACCTAGTTACTGGAGAAACCCTATTTCTACATGTTATATAAGTAGCATTGTATTGACCCTGAACCATAGCTATCCCAGCTATGCTGGAATCAAAACTCTAATACTTAGTCTAATCAGTATTTCTTGTATTGTGTTATCAGTTTATAGTTTTCATTTTCTAAGTAGGTGGAAGATTTATATTTTCATAGATTTATAATACTGTTGTTAATGCTTTTTTTTTTTAATTTGTAAATTGCTTCATTTCCTTAGGCATATTGAAGCATACAGCCAAATCCCTGACAGCTGGCTTTGCTTTCAGTTTATCTCCTAAGAGTTTTATGACAGTCTTTGTTGCTGTTAGGTACTCCAGTCATTTCCCACTCAGCAGCCCTGTGCACAGCTGACTGAAACACTGCCACGTCCTGCGCTATCCTGCTAATTGCTCCTAGGTCTGAGCCCATTGTTGCAGCCACATGTGAACCCCACCTTGTCGAGGGTTTTTCCTCTGGTTTGCACTGCCCCTCTGCTTTACCAAGGACAGTCTTCTGTAGGGACAGTCTCTCCTGGTAACATGTCTAAAGTACATGCGTGAGACCAAATATTGCCATCCTTGCCTCTAAGAAGCATTCTAGGTGTACTTCTTCCAAGACAGATTCACTTACTCTTTTGGCACTCCAAGGTATTTTACCCAATGAAATGTGTCATTTGGTCTGACAGCTGCTTCCATGGGCCTCCTTTGTGGATCCATCCAAGGTGAAATCTTTGGCAACATCAATCTTTTTTCCATTTATCCTGTACCTATTGGTCCAGCTATGGAAATGTTACTTTCTTTATTGAGTTATAATCGATATTGATGATCGCAATCCTTGGTCTTTACTTTCAAAAAGCAAGGTTGTGTTATCTGCTAATGGCTGGTTGTTAATAAGCCTTCTTCCAATGCTGATGCCACATTCTTGCAATCTAGTTTCTTTGACTAATTGCTCTGCATACAGATTGAATAAATATGATCGGAGGGCCTTTCCTGATTTTTACACCATGCATTTTCCCTTTTTCTGTTTGTACAAGTGCCTCTAGGTCCATGTACAGGTTTCACATGAGTGCAATGAAGTGTTCTGAAATCCCCAGTCTTCTCATTGCTGTCTGTTGCTTGTTAGGGTCCGCACAGCTGAATTGCCTTGGCATAGTCCGTAAAACACAAGTAAGCATCTTTCTGGTGTTCTCTGCTTTCATCCAAGATCCTCTGACATCAGCAGTGATGACCTTTGTTACACATCCTCTTCTGAATCTGGTCTGCATCTCTGATAGTTCCCTGTCAATGTACTGTTGAGACTGTTGTTGGATGATCTTCAGCAAAATTTTACTTGCATGTGATAGCAATGACATTCTGTAATTTTCACATTCTGTTGGGTCACCTTTCTTCAAAATTAGGTGCACATGTGGCTCTTTTCCAGTCAGTTGGCCAAGTAGCTGTCTACCAGATTTCCCGGCCTAGATGAGTAAATTGCTCCCATTACTTTTATCAGATTATTGAAACCTTTTACTTGGTATTCCATCATTCCTAGAGCCTTGTGTTTGGCTGATGCTTTCAGTGCAGCCCGAACTTCTTCCCTCACACTATTGGTTCTTGCTCATAACTTCCTCTTGAAAATAGTAGAATGTTGACTCTTCAGTCCCATCTTTGGATGCTTCTTACATTGTTCAATATTTTGCCCATAGAATTTTTCAGTGTTGCACCTTGAGACTTGGGGTGTTTTTTCTTGAGTTCTTTCAGGTTAAGATCTGTTGAGAATGTTTTTCCTTTTTTGGTTTCCTAACTCCAGGTCTTTGCACATTTTGTTACACTTTGTCTACTTGAGCTGCCCTTTGAAATTCTGTGTTCAGCTCTTTGACTTCATTTCTGGTATTTACTTGAACTACTTTATGATCACTCTGAGTGACCCTGCTAGTGTTAAAAATGCCAGTAATGGAGCCCTAATCATCACAGCAACACATAAGCCACCCCAGTCTAACAAACTGGCAGACAAGTGGTGAATGAAAATCTAGGTATATTTAGGTGGTGACCAATTGAAAATTAAGGTCAATCCAATTTTTTCTTAATGTACCTTAGCCCCAGGTGGTACACTGGCAGATGACATGATGCGTACAGATGTCTGTGTGTTTGCAGCACAAGAAGACCTTGAAACCATGCAAGCATTTGCTCAGGTAAATCTTTGGTTACTTTAATTTTAGTTAGCTTTTCATAGTTTATTATTAGCTAGCTTCTCTCCATTCTAATTAATGTATAGGGCATACTCTGCTCTTGGGTTGTATGTTGAAAAGTAAAAGGAATTTATGCATTAATGTTACATTTTATAGTGTGAAGCTGACAGTTTGAGGATACTGTAAACTTAGTAAAATGAATTAAAACATCAAAAATGTTGAGTGAAAAAAGAACAAACGACTCTTGTCTTCCTATGAAATTACTCCATTTTGGGGGAAAATACCAGGTACAAAAGTTAGAACCAAAAGAAAAAAAAGTATAATCCCAATCAAATCGGTAAATATCAACCAAACAAGTCTCTACTGGAAAAAAAGGAGAACCAGTTCATTGTTATGGTTTCCGTAGTTGAATTATTCTACATAGTTATTTAAAGGTGAATGAGTTTTAGGCAAATTAAGCATAACAATCTCTTCGATGTTTCATAGTTATATTTGTATGATTGTAAGCAAAGAGTTTAAATGCATCTACCCTGGAAATTGTTGTCTTTGTCCTATTAGGCAGTATAAAACCATATAATAGTGTTTTGTCACTGTTCTACAATGGATAAATGTCATATTTTATCAATAATTTGTCCACTAATATACAGTGACAATCTGTTAGAGGTGGCTATTTGAAACTATTAACAGTCTTGGCATTGTGCAGGGTTCCGGAATTGACAAACCTTTCTCAGTTGAGTTGGACGGCTCATAAAATGCTGCTACATCCTGTGGGAAATTTACTTTTTGCTATATCATATAATGTGGGAAAGTTCTCTATGGCCATGGCCTGGGTGTTTTTAGGGATCTAGCATCTGTCCACATAGGAAGTTATTTGAAGTATATCATTTTCCTTCTAGGTTTTTAACAAGTTGATCAGGCGCTACAAATACCTGGAAAAAGGTTTTGAAGATGAAGTTAAAAAGGTATGAAGGACAATATGCTTTGTGGGAAAGAAAAGGTTGGGGGCGTACCATTCTGTTTATTATAAAGTACTGTTTCTTAGCTCAGTCCAAAGGAGAAAGGGCTTATAAGCAGAAGGAGGTGAATGGGGTTTGTTTAGAGCAGTGGTTCTCAACCTGTGGGTTGCGACCCCTTGGGGGGGGGTGTCGAATGACCCTTTCACAGGGGGTCGCCCAATTCATAACAGTAGCAAAATGACAGTTATGAAGTAGCAACGAAAATCATTTTATGGTTGAGGGACACCACAACATGAGGAACCTGTATGAAAGGGTCGCGGCATGAGGAAAGTTGCGAAACCACTGGTTTAGAGGATCTGAGCGAAATACCTAAGAGAGATGTAGCATATTTGTTGTTGAGTGCATCTATGGTATATTCTAATGCGAGAGGGTCTCAAAAATTCCATTATGTTTTATTTTTCTACAAACGTTTGAAGTCTATTTATATTAGAAGTGGGAGGCCTGCTGGCATAGTGGTTAGGTGTTGGGCTGTTCGCTGCATGTTCAGCTAGCAGCTCAAAAGCGCCATCTGCTCTGCCTGAGAAAGACGGGGCTTTACTCTCTGGTAAAGAGTTAGTCTCAGAAACCCACAGGAGCACTTCCACTTTGTCATGTAAGGTCACTGTAAATCAGCATCTGAAAAAGTCTGCATCTGCTCGATGGCAGTGCTTTCGTTTGGTATATTATGCACAGGATATCTGGTTATAGGAATACAGTAGTTGCATTTATTCAGGTATCGGGCACTGTTATATTAATTACTTTCATATTTTACAAAAACCCCGTTAGGCGAGTTTTATTATGCATATGTTACATATGAAGAAACCAAAGCACACGGAGATTAAGTAACATGTCCACAGCCTTCCCCCAGCTCGTCAGTTTTAATCACTGAGATGCCAACTTAGGTGATTGGGCCTCGGCGCTCACACTTCTAACCAATACAGAATGCCTTTTACCATGTCTTTTAGCAAGGCTATTGCTCTTTTAACTCTTACTCATTTACTTTTACAGCTGCTTCTGTTCTTAAAGGGTTTTTCCGAATCAGAGAGGAACAAGCTGGCTATGTTGACTGGTGTTCTTCTGGCTAATGGAACACTGAATGCATCCATTCTTAACAGCCTTTATAATGAGAATTTGGTTAAAGAAGGTAATCAAAATTTGTCAAGGATGGTGTTTAGCTGTGGTGGGGTAAAGAGCATGTGAAAGATGAATTGACGTAGAAGTTAGTGTAGTTCTAGTTTAATTGTCCATAAAGTAGGTAAATTCACATTCCATGTGTACTGTAGGCACTCGGGGTTAGTGACTTCAAATACACGAAAATAGCCAAGGTCCAGATAAGATGTGAATAGAGAAATGAAAGTAAAGAGAGGAATGCTTTGGGAATATATTTAATAGAAAAAGATGGATTAGGAAAGTGTCAAGCTATGAATGTAAGTCATTTCCCTGTTGTAGTTTCAGTAGGTAAATTCTGCACAATAATGAAAAGCTATTTTGTCAAGTACTTGATACTTGACAGGGCCGTGTTTTAATTCTTAGGACACCCCTGGTAGGTAATAGAAGCTGTTGCTCTTAATTTACACACTAGAAGGCAATGTAATTAACCCTGGAACACACAACTAGCAAATAGAAAAGACTGAGTGGTGACGTTGTAAGCAGTGGTAGAAAGTAATCCCTTGTGGTTGAACTTGGAGGAGAATTTGAGAGCCCACGAGGAAGGGAAAGCAGAAGTGTACTTGCTCTTCTTTTGCAGGGGTCTCAGCTGCGTTTGCCGTGAAGCTCTTCAAGTCGTGGATAAATGAGAAAGACATCAATGCAGTAGCTGCCAGTCTTAGGAAAGTCAGCATGGACAATAGACTGATGGTTTGTGAATTTTTCTTGCCAATACTTAAGACAAATGTAAAGAGGGAAACCTTTTTAATTTTAAAATCTTTAAAAGAGGGAAGGTGCTTTTAAAATCCTTAACAAGATTGAATTCTCCCTTTCAGGAACTTTTTCCTGCCAATAAGCAAAGCGTCGAACACTTCACAAAGTATTTCACTGAGGCAGGCTTGAAAGAGCTTTCAGAATATGTTCGTAACCAGCAAACCATAGGAGCTCGGAAGGAGCTCCAGAAAGAACTTCAGGAACAGATGTCCCGTGGTGATCCGTTTAAGGATGTAAGATATTTTTATTTAAACCTTCTCTGTGTGATTTACGTTGATGCGAAACAATTTTTTACTTGGTATGTTAAGAATTTCACTAGCATGAGTTTGAAATAATAGCTACGGAATGTTGAACTAGAACTTTGCTTTTTTCTAAAAGTCTTTAGGCATATGTGGATATGCCACTACTCACCTACTTACCTTACATTTCACATTTGTGGCGATAGTAAAAAAATCATCCCGTGTTTGCACATTGACAACATAGCTGACAGTAACGAATGGCACGGTGTGTACTGGGTCAGAACAACGCTAGTTGTGCATACGGTGCTGTGTCAGCTTGGCTCTCCTCTGTTGTGACAGTTACATGTGCTCATCCTTCGCCTCAGCAGGCCGCCGTTTCCCCTACAGTCTGGTCCTCGTAGGGAAAGGGGCTTTTTGCCCTTTGTCGAAGGTCTAAATTTGATATGTGGGAAGTCTGTACATGTCAAAACTGACTTCTATAATGAAACTTGAGTTCTTTGGCAGATAATTTTATACGTCAAGGAGGAGATGAAAAAAAACAACATCCCAGAACCAGTTGTCATCGGAATAATCTGGTCAAGTGTGATGAGCACTGTGGAATGGAACAAAAAAGAGGAGCTTGTAGCAGAGCAAGCCATCAAGCACTTGAAGGTACTAGTGCTGTGCCTCAACAGAGCTGTGCTCGCCTCTGAAGTGGGGAGGAGAGGATTATCACTGTTCTTTTCTAGTAGGGTAGGATATACCATATCCTGGGATTCCTGGACTGAGCCGTGGTGGCTTTGAATCTGTTAAACTGGCCATTGCTGTTTAAATCCATCAGTCGCTTCCCCTAAAATTTACAATATTGGAAACCATGTGGATCACTTCTTCTCTGTCATTTAGGGTTGCTGTGAGTCCAAATGAGGGGGTTTGGTGGTTTTTAGGTTCTTGGGGATAACTCACTCCCCACCCCCCCACACACAGACAATAGAGCAATGATAATTATTATTGATAACAGTTTAAAGTTGACCTGGGCTTTCTTTGGTTCACAACCAGTTTAAATACATGTTTAAAATAGATCTGAATTGTGTTGTTTTTGAAGGGATTATTAAAAACTGGGAGCACTCTTTCTCTCTAAAATAATTGGCACTGTGTTCATCTGTGTAGCACTTACTTGACTCAGATGCTAAGTAGTTTTGGTTCAGATTCACAATTTTTATTAAAATGTTTAATTCTAAACAATTTCATTAATAAACTAAATCAGTTTCTAGTCCATAGTAATTACAAAGGGAAGTAGTTGTGTTCTGTATTTTAGGGGTGATGTCAAGGATAGTCACTGTGATGTTTGACTAAAGCTTTTCTCCTGTTACTGTAAAAGCAATACAGCCCTCTACTTGCTGCCTTCACTACTCAAGGTCAGTCTGAGCTGACTCTGTTACTGAAGATTCAGGAGTATTGCTATGACAACATTCATTTCATGAAAGCCTTCCAGAAAATAGTGGTGCTTTTTTATAAAGGTAATTTCAGTTTTGAATTTTTGTGAATGCATACACTGTATATACTCGTGTGTAAGCTGAGTTTTTTAGCACATTTTTAATGCAGTTTTTTTTTTGTAAAATTGGGTGTCTCGGCTGATATTCAGGTTGGCATATACTTGAGTATATATGGTAACAAAAACTTGAATAATTTAAATAAATAGTTGCATGCTTATCCACTCCCTGAAATATATTTTTTATTATTTTTATTTACTCCAGTCCTAGGACTGGATTCTCTGATTAATTGGGTGCATTTAAACGGACAACTGTTAAAAGAACTCAACTCTTAAGCATGAAGATCTCTTGGGAACTTGCCCTCGAGGCAGTGTGCTGTGGTTGGGGGTGCTACTCTTGGTTTCGTGTCACATACGCAGCCCCCATGAGTAGTTTGTATGTGTACATGTAGTGTTCCTCTTCCCTGGTTTCAGGTGGTTCTGTCTGGTTCATTTGTTGTTAGAGAAAGTTTGGGAGACCTGAGCTTTTAAGTATGACGTGCTCCTAAACGTCAGCTCAGTTTGGTTTCTTGGAGCCCACTCACTATACTACTACTAACCTCAGCCACACACTCAGATTATTTAGGAACAGGTTTTAGAGATTTCATTTTTCATTATCCATTTGTTAAGGTTCTCATTTCACATACAAAATTAATTTCTTAGTCAAAATTTCCTGATCCTTTAACAGCCTCAGCACCCTTTGGGCCAGATCATTCTTCATAGTGTGCTCTTGTCCTGTGCATCATAAGGTGTTGGGCAGCGTCCCTGGTCCCAGTAGCTACATAGCAGTAGCATCCCCACCCCCTCCCCCTCTCCTGAGTGTGACGATCAAAATTGTCTCCAGGTTTTGTCAGAATCCCCCCCCAGTGTGTAATGATCACCCTCTCCTTAATAGCTGAAGTCCTGAGTGAAGAGCCCATTCTGAAGTGGTATAAGGATGCCCATGTTGCAAAGGGGAAAAGTGTCTTCCTGGAGCAAATGAAAAAGTTTGTGGAGTGGCTCAAAAATGCTGAAGAAGGTAAGTTTTACCCCCTTTGTGTGTGTGTGTGTTTTCCCTTCAGTGTCTGAAGACTAATGCAAGGTCTTGGAAAGTTTATGGGGAAAACATTAATTTTGAAGATAATGGCCCAAACTCAACACACTTTGTGAATCCCCCTCTCATGTTAACATAACTACGTGTATCCGTTTATCCTGGTGCTGTTTTATGCCCAGGACATAGATGTTTGTTCCCTCACAACAGCTCTGCAGGTAGTCATTGCTTAAGTCAGGGAGAGCAGCTAGGCTTTCATGTTGCAATGTTGCGGTGGCTCAGCTGAAAGCTCCGCAGCAGCTGAGGTTAAAGATTAAAGAATTCTGGAAACAACTCATAGGTGTGGATTTTAAGTTTTTTTCTTATACTGGGTCCTCAGAGCAGTGTCATTTTACTAAAATTTCTTAGAAAATAAATGCATCAAAGTGCTACACTGGTTATATTCACGACTGCATTTTTCCCCTTTTTTAGAATCGGAGTCTGAAGCTGAAGAAGGTGACTGAATTCTGAGACTACGTCCTCAGTAAAGCAAACAGGAGTTGTAGATAAAATGTCATGTCTCATGTGTCCTGGTTTTTACATCTTCCTACCTCCCTGTATCAAGCATGATATAAGGGCTTTCATGGCAAATTTTATTTTAACTGTTTCTATGGTTACTGGAAATGTTGGGTTTAATTTCTAAAACCATGTTTTAAGTAGCTACAGGAGCTATAGATTGGAATCTAATGTTGCATTAGTCTTTTCAGTTCTCTTCTACCTCCTGTATTTTCTACTGTAATGTAATTTAAGGCCTTCCACAATGAACAGTTCACTTTATTCCCTGGGTTTTATATATAAACCATTTTCAAGATATGATTTGGTTAAAAAAACAATTTCTTATAAAAATTCTGTTGGCAAATTAAACTGTAAAAGTATCCAAAGTTTCAAAAGACAATGATTTGTGTGATAATTTGGTATGAAATGTGGAGGTGGCACAGTTTATGCCCAGAGCCCTATTCATCAGTGGAAATCTCATAGATATAATTGCTTATTGACATGAATCTTGAGTGTTCAGACCAGTCCTTGCATGTGAATATACTTTCTTGCAATGTTAGCCCAGACGTCCTTAAATTCAGTGTTTGCTTGCTGGCTCCATCCCGAGTGGAGCCGTGGAGAACCACTTGAAAGCGAGGTCTCTGAAATCATACGTGACAGGAGAGGGAGGAAGAATAATGTTGAGCTTTTTTCCCATTGAACAACATCTCCTTTGGGTTACGATCTTTCCAGGCAAACTAAGTGTTCTTTTCATTTTCTTACAACCATTTTCAAATGTACCTAAAAAGAGTTGTCGTTCAAAGTCATACACATAGATTAATAAGAAAAGTGCAAATATGGGAAATAACTGGTTAGTTTTGAACTCATAAGTCGTTAATGACATTAAGTGATCCGCATGTTCTTAATTGAAACTCTAAATATAAATTGACTATTGGATTCGAGTATTTGAAGTATTTGTTGAGAAGAATGAAGTGCAGTGGTGATGAGATATTCCACTTGGCCATATCGGACTGGCTTCCATTTCTTGATGCATTCCATAATGACTCAAGCATCTTGGCCAGTGACGGACTCTAGTTGCCATTTTTTAAATTGCCATGAGCCAAATATTCTGTATGGTTGGTCCATCGATTTTAATGGCTGCTTTTTAATTTCCAGCTTTTGTTCTTGCTGCTACCCACTTATGTATGTAGTCATTAGAAAACAATGTGACCACATTTTCGGGGGAAAGTGAGACTTCATGTTAAATGTGAACATTTTGAAGGTTTTCTTGGTTGAAAGAAACTAACCTGGAATAATGCCACCAGAGACAGAATGAGATCGCCCCTTTCTAAGGTGCCATTCTTAGGAGCCAAGAATATGGCACGTGGAATCAAAGTTCATCTTGAAGGGATAACATGTAATAAGAACATTAACTGGTGGCATAAACGGAGTGAATTTGTTAAATGAATAGCTTTGATACTATTTTCCTGCCCAGACAAAATGTATTCATTAGGTTTCTACATAGTCATTGCTTTTACTTTGTAATTTGTAGTCCTCAAAAA